TTCTCTCAAACACATCCAAGACAACACACACACACACACACACAGAACCTCAGACTTCCCTACCTTTGAGTAGGACGAACCAGGTTCATCATAAATCAAGATGATGAATTCCGATCATAAGTCAGTCAGGCTGCCGTCAGAGGCAGCAGGAGGAGACGAGCCTGTGGACGACAGGGACACCGGTGACACACCCGCCACCTTCACCTGTCAACCAGCTGAGACACACACACACACACACACACACACAGAGTTCTCTGTCCACCACCGCTCGCCGTCCCGTCCTTCAAATATCCTGCCAAGGACTTACCCTTCCTGCCAAAAAAAGAGCAAAGAAAAAGGAGGAAACACACACACACACACACACACACACACACACACACACACAGACGTTGCATTTGTTTAGCTTGAAGAAAGAGAAAAAAACTAAGCAAAACAACCCTCTGTGTTCAATTTTTGTGTGGCAGAAATGGGCCTGGGCCGACCCTCATTAAGAGTTTGCCGTTGATTTCTCAAAAACGAGCTGTTTGCCAGATTAAAACCCGGATCCTTGCGTTGGTTTACCCAAACAGAGGTCTATCGGATCATCAGATCGGAGGCGGCGAGAGGCCTACCCCGCCTGGCTTTAAAGGGAGGACACCGAGCTAAATCACACTCAGAGAAGTGAGGGGCTTGACAGACCTGGTCCTTGTGCCGCTTGTCACGCGCATTTGATATTTTGATAGCTTCCCGTCTCTTCCCATTAGCCCCCGGGGTCCCGAAACCATTTTAGATGTTTATCGGCAGAGCGCTGGGGGTTAATTTCGTGTCTCGTCAGGAGCTCCGGCAAAGAGCGGTATCGCACTGTCACCCCACCGCCGCAGTCGGCCAGCTTATCAGGGAGAGTTGTGTTACACTGACTGACACATGACAATGACCCTGGTGACTCTCAGCGGGCCGATAGCATCTGGGTTTTTTTCTCTTTGCTAGTCTCTCTCACTCTTTTCCACCCCGCCCAGCTTCTTCTCTTACTGCGGGCAATGAAGAAATTGGGACTTTGTCTCCGGGGAAGTGAAAAGAGTAGGAGGGAGAGTGTATGCTGTCTTTGAAGGAGTGTAATGCACTCACACACGTGCGCACGGATAGGACACATAGAGAAAACCCCCATAACCTCAGTGCTTGCACACATACACACACACACACACACACACATGTGCAGTGCCTCTGGTTGTGCAGACGTTGTGTGCATGAGTGATAATATGCATGCCTATCTTTGGCCATCCAGTTTTATCAGTGACAAAAAGGTATTGGTTTCACTGTTTGGCGTGGAGCAGCACGGCGCCATGAGGCATGGCCGCTCATTGGACACAAACATACACACCAAGGCTCAAATTCAAACGCTTATAGAAGCACACAAACTAATCATCGCATGTTGTGGACGACATCCATCATGACTCAGAAACCTTTCTGCTCTCTCTTGTCTTTCACAGACACAAAGCAGCTTACAACTCAGCTTCAAGACCAAAATCGGAAGTTTAATTTGAACTCGTACATATTTGTGCTTAAGAAGCTAAAATGTGTCTTTGTTATACATTTCAGATGAATGGTTATGCAAGAACGTCAAGAAATACACAAAAAAATTTGCTTTTATTAATGCAGGAAGAAAGCATTAGAATTGACCAAAGCGTTATTTTAATTTTGACGGGAATTTTATCAGTAAAAGGAAACTTAACGGAACAAAGGGCAATTGCTTTACACCACCAATGATAGGACTGATAACCAGAAATTGTAAAAGAAATAGAAGACATTTTAGGTCATTGTGGTCTTTGCATGAGCTGAAACGACAAATCAATAGTAACACAAAAGGAATGATAGTGAAATCCCGTGTTAATGGTCCTTTTCCAGATCTTCATCTTCATCCAGTTCTCCCTTTCAGAGTTCAACCTTTGGTGAGTCGATTCTTACAACGGCATGTGGCATCTTTAGATAATAAATCACCGCTGCAACGCATTTTATCCGTACCATCACAAACGCATTTGCACATGCATGGGCAATCACCGAGTTATGCATAAACATATTTTGTTTCAACAAATTAACGTCAGGATTCAATTAACCTAGCCTCTTACTGGGGGTGATAATAATAGAAACAAAAAGTGGCGATCCTCAAATGCTGTTTTAACCACTTTTGTCAGGTTTTTTTTCTGTTGCACTGGATTAGGTACATGTCCAAGCACTATCTGGTGTATTTTTCTTTATCTGATCAAATTCACAAAAGGTTCTAATTTGACACCCTGCAGGAAATGCAGAGTGTGTCGCATGCTACTTTGTTTGCTCAGCTTCATGGCTCTATTAACCATGAATATAGATTTACAAATCATGCGAACCAAAGATGAGCTGGACAGAGGGCTCTGTCATTACCATCACCAAAAGATACTCAAACCCCTCTTAATTAAAAGCTTGTCTGAAACTTATTCAGTGCAATAACTACTCTGAAGTCATCCATAGGCCCCGCGCTTGTGAGGAGCTTTAGACAAAAGCATCTTCTGAATCCGTGTAACGCACACACACAGACACACGCAACCACATACTATATTATTGTGCGTCTCTTTTTGTGACTCCGGCTGCAATGGTAAAGAGATGATCACACCCAAAGTGGAGGGGCATGGAAGAACCTCGTCGAGTTGAGGTACACAGGCAATGACCTTTATTGAAAGAACAAACAACACTCAGAAACGATACCTGATGCTATTTCTCTTCTTCAACTTTTTGTCATTTGAAATTTGTGATCTGTTTTGTGGACATGCATGATTGTTGGAGATAAACTTGTGGGCTTAACTGGTTAGTCTAAGTCGTTCCTGAAAGTGAGTGTCAGTGTTCTTGTTTTTTGGTGTTTTTTTTCTGTTTGCGGCTCTGTGGTAGACTGGACTCCAGGGCGGTCCCCTCCTATTGCATGATGGCAGATGGGATGGGCACCGGTCCTGCACCTGAGCCCTGAATGGACGGCTGGATTCGGTCTTGTAGATGGTGTCAACTGATTGTGTCACGTGGGGTTGGAGATTGCATTACGGTAAAGAGATAATAATCAAGTTTTAATCACCATGTTTATGCAGACAGTCTACATGCAGAGGGAAAAAATTGACAGTAAAGGGCTTTCTCAGCGCAATGTAACTCACACTCTTTACAGGTCTGCGGAAATTACGAATGCGTCACTCACAGTCTCAAGATGACACGTCTGTGGATGTTTGCTGGAGTGAAAGAAAAAGCAAAAGGGGCGCCTGTGTGTGTGTGTGTAATTCTTTGGGCGTCAGCCATGTCAATCAGACCCCTGCAGCGCAACTGCCCTTCACACTTCTGTTTATCTACCGCTGCTGAGGACTGGCAAGACTGATAAGAGCACATCACTCCCCGTCTGCCTCTCTCCGTCTCTCTCACAATAACGCTCGCACATGCACAGATTGCTCGCTGTCCCTTTTAGCAGTCCTCGTCAGCAGTCGGGCTGACCCAGAATGTGTGTGTGTCGGCGCAGCCGTAAAGAAAAACGTGTTGTTTGGAAGCGAGACTTTCTCATTGTTGGTATTCACCCCCTGCTCTCCACACCCTGATCTTTCCGCTCAGGTTTCAGCGGCGTACGTTGGGAATGCACTGCTTCCAGCGGTGTCACGTTTGTCCTCAGATGCTGAGGAAACGATCAAACTCATGTATCTAATGGTCAAGGACAGAGGATTTTCCCCGCTTTTCAACTAGTCTCTTCCGTCACCGTGTGTGTGTGTGTGTATGTGTGTGTGTGTGTGTGTGAGCCATTTCAGGTCGTTCCTTATGTTATAATCAAGGATCAGAATCCATTTTCCCATCAAAGCGTTTGCCGTCGGCTATGTTGATTAACACAAGGCCCTGAAATGTTTTTTTTTCTTTTCTTCTCTTTTCTTTTTTTTTTTTGTTCTCACTGCCACCTGAAATGTTCTCAATTCACGTCTGAAGGCTGGTGACTGCGCGGCTCTACATTTCCCCGGAGACCGGACATTGTTACCATGGTCTCCAGACTTTAATGGCAGCCATTGTGCCTACCATGTACACCTGTCAGTCATGCACGGAAAGGCCACTCTGAGGACACAGACGTGGGCTTCTGGCCGGAACATGAGCCCAATAGACGCGGCGAGCCCGTAGCGAGCCCATGCGCCTCTGTCAAATGACTGGAATTTGCGTGCCTGCGTGCGTTCTGGGGGGCGGCACACACCAAAAACGTCTGTGTGTGTCCTCACTCAGTCAGCCAGCTGAGTCTGCAGTCAGTTTACGTTTGACTGCAGGGCGAAAGCTCGAGCAAGAAATGAATTCTGACTCGCCGAGCGCCTCACATAAATTCCCTTTCTCATATTCCGACACAAAAGACAACATATCTGCATTGCATTAGCCCTGGGACTCCTTTTTCATTCTGATGATGATTTAGGGGTGTTGTGATCTCCCCACGAACGTCAGAGAGAAACAGTGAGACAGAGATAAGGAGGGAAGACACAGAAACATGGCTGCAGGTTGTGGAAAGGGGGTCTAGGAGAAAAAAGAAAGGGTGATGTTATATTTAAGCTACCGCCAAATTATTTTCATTTTGCCAACTCGTGAGGCTGCACATCGGCTGCACAAAGTAAATTGCAGTATATGAAGAAAATGGCTGAACTTGTGTCCAACTGTATAGAAACTGTATACAATTTCCCCATGAATATTCTGTGCTTGAGGATTGCATCAATGATTTGCTGTTTGAGGTTTGTTATCATGTTGTATTACCTCCCGAGATGGAGATATAGAAGCAGACATGACTGGTTTTCTTTTAACTTAAATATTCACTTTTGAAGATTGTAGGAGAGCACCATACCTGCATCTCATAACACTGTGCTGTCCCAGTTATATTAGACACTATGGATTGAAACGGAACATTTTTCTGAAGAAAAAAGTCTAAGATTTTGACAATTTTTTTTCGACATGGTGGCTTTCTTTTATTTATTTATTTTTTATTTATTTATTTTTGCGACAAAATGAAGAGACAAGCTGTGGCCTTCTCTCTGGTTATTACCGCTGTGCCCTATAATGTCACCTTCCATGACACCACAAAAGACAGTTTGATCAGTTTAATCCCATAAACCTATTCTTTTACTATTGTTGAATTCTACGCATGTTTCTGAATGTTTCAACATATCATGTAAAAGAACTTATGATAATAACGATAATAGATCAAACTTGTTTAGTTGAAGGAAAAATATGAAAATATTTGAATGTTCATGTTTAATTAAAATCAACAAAGCAATCACACATTTAAAACCCCGGAATGAACTAAACCCAGTCTATTTGTTACAGCTTTATATGTTCTTTGACACAGAAGTTTGACTTCATAAGCTAGGCAGCATCTTGTAGGATCAACTCCCCAGTTGGAAACGGTGACCTTTCCACAGTTAAAGCAACACACTTAGTGATCCAGCTGGTAAATGCATCATTCAGGCTTTACTACATGTTATATTGCTACTATTGTCTCCAATACAGTACAAGTAAGCAAGGTTTTAACCTTTATTTGGTGCTCCGGTGATAGAGGTCTGGTACACAACAGGGTAGCGGTTGTGTATATTCGTGTATGTGTGTGTGTGTGTGTGTGTGGTGGGGGATGAGGGGTGTGTCCTGGTATCAAAAAGGAAAGGGTAAGATGCAGCTGTGAACCTCTCATTATCGAGTGGCATGTGTCCTGTCACTCATTTATTGTTACTGGCCGTGTTCACATCTGAGCTCTCTCACATTACTCATCCTCTGTTTGCCCCACCTGACCTCTCTCTCTCTCTGGCACGCTGTGTGTGTGTGTTTGGGTACAGCAGTGTACGTAGGCAGACACAGCTTCTTTGCTTTGCGACATTTATACACCTCACTTCATGTGTGGTCGACCCAGAAACACAGGAAACTGTTTACAAAAATGCCCCCCTATGTATGTACTCCTTATTTCCCAATTTATGGCCACCATTTCTATGTGATCCCACTTTACAAACAAAAAAAGAAGCCTTTTTTGGAAAATATATTTGCTTGAGGAAAATTGATAGTCATAACCACATTAGGCCATTTCAGAAGGGCGTCCACAGGGAGCAAAGAGTCATTACCAGCAAAATGGGACATTCCACATCATGTGACTAACTTACAGTTGTAACCAAGTTAGTGCAAGGAACAGTTGAAGCTCCCACAACTGGAAGTCAAAAGTATGGAAATTTGGCATGATGACGCATGCTATAAACTCTGTTTATTAATAGCATCCAAAAGTTTTTTGGTTCTTGATAAACAGACGTTCCAGGAAGTTAATTTGCTGTTCAGGGAAAGAATTTGTCTTTATACTCTTGAGCTTTGGGTGGTGGTAATGTTTGATTTTGATGGTGGGGGGGGATCCGGATTGGGCTGAGTTGAACGCGTCATTTCATGGGTGACAGAAAATGGAGAGTCTCTTGCGGTTGCCTCCCTCTGCTCGCAGAATCCAGAGGACAGGAAGACTTTAGGGACTGAGAGGGTTAAGAAATTGAGCGGGGGGGTGGGGGGGGTTGCTGCCTTCACATGGGATGGATCAAACCACAGCTGGCTGGTTTCATTCGTCCCCTGCCTCCCACTCTTTCACATCTGACCCTTCGTCTCAGTCAGACTCCTCCTTCCATTTCCCTAACCTCTTTCAGAGACACAGCTGAGCATAGAAGATCTGAAATGCTCCAGGCACTCGGCCTGTTGATCTTACCAAATGACAATTATATGACTATGATTTATGTATTTATAAACTCCTGAGAATGTATTATCAACAAGAAAATCTTTGTAGTATTAAATCAAATCAAAGACTTCCTCTCAACAAAGAATTCTTACATGATGACATGAATGTTAAAGAAGAGAAAAGGAACTGCTTGCTATCAACACAACCCTACAATTAACCTGAAATCCCATTTTGTTGCATATGACTATAGTACCCACTTGGATTGTTAGCCATAAAAACAAAAAAGATTAACTCTGCAGATGGTATCATAATATAGCTCAATCTTGCTGTGTATTCTCATACTCATTACATTTTCCATGTCATTAGTACAAGCAAAAGTTTACACATCTGTGTTCTGGGCTAATGTTAGATACCAATATGCCACTAATATGCCATTTTAATGTGTTATTATTTGCAATCAACAGGACGCTGACAGAAACATTTCAGGTGTCGTAAATATGACGCATTGCACTTGTGAATTTAAATGTGAATTATATTACGGCAGTACAAAAGAACAAAAACTGAAGCTCTGAAGCTAAATTACTGCAAGCCATTTGGAGATAATTGAGAATTCACGTTGTTGATTTAAATGCAATAGAGAAAGAGTTTTGGCTCCTGCCACCTGTAGTAATCAGAAAGATTCATTATTTGCGCCCATAAAAATGTGATAGTTGAATCCATCCAATATTTTCATCATTACTTTTCAAAATATTATATTCTGGATCAAGGTGGTTGACCAATGAATTTACTTGGACAGCTATTATTAAATCTGGCTGGTTCTGCTGAGCATGATTTCATTTGTTCCATAACGTAAACATGGAGACGGTCTTTCTTCCAAAAATAAATTGATATAAAGCAAAACAAGAAAATAAAGCCCTCCTAACATTTTCCTTTTGACCGCTATGGGGAGGTTCCAAATCATCATCGTAGCTAAAATTTCAATGTGTTCTTACCCAGAATAAAACACTTGCATGAATATTATCATGTATTTTTGCCCACGGATACCAAAAAAGTCTTTACAGTGAAACTTCAAATACATCCTTTCACTTTCAGTCAGAGTAGGAATCAAAGTTAGTCATTTATATATCACGCAAAAAGCTTTTTTTTTTCTTGCTTTTTGTCAGTTTATGTATTTCTCCCTTTGATCGCTTAAGCTTTCTGAGGATACTGCCAGTGGCAAGGGGTTGCAGTTATCGCATACAGTATCAATTGTCTCCTTCAAAACTGTAAGTACAGATTACCTAACTCAAGGCCAGAAAAAGTCCACATGACCACCAGCCCATGGCTATATTTCAATCAGCGCTGTTACCCCTACCTCCTACGCTTCCTGTTCTCTGCTCTTTTTTTTTTTTCCATGCAGAGAAGGCGGAGGATGGAGAGAGAGGAATCAGACCACACATACAGATCCAGGCCTCCACCCCCAGCCTCCAGTTCCCCCCGCCATCTGTGCACGTCCCTCTGCCTGCAACTCCACAACAACAAGGCCCTGAACCTCTGCAGAGGAGTCAATCCATCACTGAGAGAGAGAGAGAGACAGAGAAAGGAAGTAAAAACAGGGAACGGACGGGTGGGTGGGTGGGGGGGGGGGGGGCGAGGCATGGGGGAGAGGAAGAAGGAGAAGTGAGGAAAAGCGAAAGTGAGATGCCATGAAACTTAATCATAGAAAGGGTCGTGTCGGGCAGAGGAGGGGAACAGATTAAATTAGCATAGCATTAGATATGGAAAATGATCTCTGTCAAAATCATCCGCCGCACAATTATAATATGTTAATTACTTATTTCATTAAGGAAGTTTATTATGGCCTCGCAGATGAAATCATGCAGGCCGAAGACACCTGGAGGAAAAGCAGTGATGCCTGAATCTCCGTTCCCCCCCCCACTATCTCCCTCTCCCCCCTCTCTCTTCTCCCCCTCTCACCCCCCCCCCCCCACACACACACACACACACACACACCCTCATTCCTTCACACATCTCTCTTTGTTCCTCAACACATAACTTACGGTGTCACATTTTTAAAACATCATGTTTAATAATCTCTGCGATCGCTGCAGAGACGAGGTTTGCTGTTTCACTCTGGCTGCAGGTCTACCGGTTAGAAAGAGTCCAAATAAATATTCTGCTTTTGTAAACACATAACCAAACACAAACACAACAGTGTTATACGCAGGACAGACGTGTAGATGAAAAAACAACACTGACTCTTTTTTTAAAAACAGGAGGATCTCTAACTATACAGAACTTTGTAATGACTTTCTTTTTTGTTATTTTGATTTAAGCTTAGATTGCTGTATACTATAAACAAACTAAAATGAAAATGCATGAAGAAGTATTGTTTCAGATCTGGCATTGAATGATCTAAAATGTTTGAACTTGTTAACAGCCATCTCTAAATAGGGTCTTTTCCATTGTTGTGCAATTTGAACAACAGCATAGAGATCCAGCTGAAATAGCCCCTAGTTTTGAATGTGATGGCAAGCTCTACAGCACTGTGAACATGTTAGAAATCATTAGTTCACCTAAGTAACTCACCGGCACACCAACGCCTCTCCTGACAACACAAGCTAATTGCTCTCTGGTAGCCTTTATTTCTCTGAAGCCTTGTACTTTCCTTTTTCTTTCAAGTGCCTGTAGGGGCTCACAAACACCAGGCTGTGGGTCTTTTAAACACGTGTCCTTTTGGGATTTTCAAACTATTCCCCATCAAGACTCAGGTGGACCAATAAGTCTTATTTTTAAACTTAACCTTACTGCTCTTTTTCACAAAGTCACTGCCATAATGGCCGATGCTTCGAAATAATTGTTATCTCCTTATTCATAAGTATAATGCATTCAGTCCCGACCCGTCTGAAAAAGACACATGGAGCCTTTATTATCTATTTGTTCCAATTGTGTTGCATACATTTTGCATGTCATTAGCTGAACAGTTGCATCAGAGCTCGGGCCATAGGGCGGTTTGCATTTGTTTCCTCTGTCCTGCTGTCTGGCTCGGCGCTTTCTGGCTCGTCCACCCCGGTAGGACAGACAGGCGATGATGATGATGATGACAGTCATCAGGGATGCAGCAGCCTTCCATCTGTCCATCCGAACGTAAAAGTGAAAGAGGCAGGTGTTGGAAATTGAGAACTGAAAGGGAGGCAGCGAGTGTGGAGCAGAGAGGGCTTTGTTAAATCCTAGCTGTGATGTGTTTGAGGTTATTTCGGATTAAAATCAAGGTCAGTGAGACAGATTTTCAATTAGGGTCTGATCAATCAAATATTTCTTTTCAAAACTGCACATATAGGCTGATGTGAGATTCCACCACGTCAATAATTTGAACACCACTATCAGCTCGTTGCACTACAATAGCCATTTAGCTTTTTAATTCTAATCTGTTAGGACACTAACGATTTGTTTTATGGAACAGCACCCTTCACAGATAAAGTGGATAAAGTTTTTTTGTTTGTTTGTGCTGGATGGTATTCAGTCATACCCAATGTGCTCAGTTCTGCATGCATAGTTTGCGAAAGCTGCAAGATTGTGTCAATAACCCACAGGAAAGACTCCGTAATCGTTTGCGCTTTAGTTTCAGATTGTGCCACATAGACAAGGAAAAACCGGTTTGATTAAATTCCCAAAAATAAAAAAGTGGATGCAAACATAAAATAAGGCACACCCTTCTTCAGTTCAAAGGTTTCATGAATAATTTGAATGTAATATAAAATTTTGTACCAGGTCTCAAAACATTTCCAGTGCCACATGAACATATAGGGGTAAAGAGTAACTCGGTGCTGCTGATGGAATCCACCGGATAAATGGATCTTAAGCAAGTGCTTTATAATGTTTTAAATGCAAATAAAAGTCAAGGGTTTTAGCTCTGGCACTCACAGTCCACTGGTCTAAACATCACTAAGGGAGCAGTACTGTTCACGCAAGACGTCCCAAGAATCTCATGCAGCTAGAAGCTTTTTGAAAGGGAAAAGGAACTGTAAAAAGATGGAAATAAAAAAGTAATTTTGCTTAAAATATTTAAGAAATCTGCCCCCTTTTTTAAACTTCATGCCCTTGGCAACAGCTATTTACATCAACGTGTCCTGAAAGTCCTGTGTTTTAGTTTGTTCCACCAGTTATTTACTCTACTTCTAACTGTATTTATTGGTGCGGCATTATGTTATATCAAGCTAGTCGAAGATACATTTATGAGTCACTCGGAGAATGTAATGCTGAAGAAGAAGTTGCACCTTAAAATCTTTCATTAATGATATTTTGATGTGAATTGGATGCTCTAAAACTCACTTGAGACACTAAGCAGGAACTTTTAATGTAGCTACTCAACTTTACATTTCAAAAAGTAAAAAGGTCTCTACAGGAATCAAGCAAAGCATCACATACAGCACCGAGTTGCTCAGTGCTGGTTTCAGATGTAGCATACTGATTTCAAAGAAAATTTCTAAACGCAAAAATATGCATTTCACATGTTCATTTGATAACGATAACTGCTACATTCCTGATTTAATGATTCAAGAATCAAAAATATTATATAAAGAGCCACAGAAAGATCAAAGATAGCTGATAAAAAGCTGTAACATCTAATGCATGTACAGTAAGCAGCTGGGAGCAGGGAAAAACAAATTCAGACATTCACCATCTCTCCGATGATCTGAAATTCTCAAAACATCTTCACTGTTAAACATGTTTAGCATTTTAACTTCAAAAATCCCATGGCGCCTCTCATATTGGCCGCGAAGCTTCAAGCGAAAACCATATTGATCGAAAAATGAGAGACTTGCAGAAGAGGAATAAAAGGGAAAAAAAGAAAGGAGATGTGAGAAAGGAATCAGGAGATACACATGGCAAGAGAAAGAGAGAAAAAGAGAGACAGAGACAGGCCAAATAAACCAGGGGCAATCTTTAGTATCTGGGGTTCTATTCTGGAAGAAACACAAGGAGGGGGGTGGGAGGAAAAGTGGAGGAGAAAAAGTAGAGGAGAGTGAAAACATCTTAAGGAGTGTGTACAAAGGGAATGAAAACACACACACACCCGAAGGCTGGGGTCACAGTCAGAATGCTGGAGAGGTGCAGAAGACCTAGCGGCTACACGGGAGCACCTCGCTCTGCCTTTAATATCGCCTGCCCACCGCACAGATTTCAAAACAGATAGCCAAAAACAAAAAATCAACGCCCCCAAACGCGCATACATGCCTCTTTCAAACAGCCTCCGTCGTGTACATAAACTGTGCAGCCCCCATGCAGATGTACTGTAGACTTGTTAGGTCGAGCTCAGAGGGTGGGAATGGGTAAATTCGACAACAATGGCAGCCTCTGGGGAATGGCAGAGCAGTCTCACACACACACAAACACACACACACACACTAAGGTCTCCCTCTCTCCACATCACACTCTCCCCGTCTTGATCTCTCGCATGTACGTACAAACACAAACATACACACAAACACACGCGCACACACACACGAACACAGGGGGGTGTTAGGAACTGAAAGGTAAGCTTTTCTTGCTGTTTCATGCATAATTCTGCCTTATGGTGCCAAACACTGATACATTTTCACCGGGCACTTTTTTTCTTCCTGTTCATTTATTTGTTTATTTCTTATCATGTTTATCTTAGTTTTTTTTTTACAATTTTGTTCTATTTTTTTCCCCAAATGGCTTCTTGAGTACTTTTAGGGTCCCAAGGCCTCCATGGTGGGATGGTAAAGTTGGTTCAGGGCAGACAGCTTGTTTTCAATCAGGACATTTATGAGGAGTTTAATCATTTATGCATCCGGCGTCCTGGGTGTATGACAGATCCCTTGGAAACACAAATTATCATGTTGACTTGCAACAAACACAGTGTAATTACATCATGGCCTGTCAAGAGGCATTAAGAAATCTTCTCCCTATCTCCAAAGTAATGAGACGCTAATGCTGCTACATATGACATAGAAGTCATTGGCATTTGGAACATTCCCCCAAATATACCGCCACTGAATAATTACAAAAGATTACAGTTTTGGAGCTAACGAAGTCAGAGAATCTCCGGCATGTTGGTTCAATTTCAGTAAAGTGTTCGGTAATAAATTCCCCTTCAGGGAACAAATGTATCTGTGGCATGTTGTTGCGTCCGGATCCCCTGTGTGTCAGACCTGCCTTTTGATTTCATTTGTACAGTTCTATTCTTAGCCTTGCTCTGACTTTAGATCCCCATTTGGAATCCAGTGCTAAAGGAGCTTGGAATGGGACGGTGCTGCTGAATGTGTTAGCGCTCCACTTGATCCATCAGGCACCTATCTACTCACAGAGGTCTCTTTAGGAGCAGACTGCTCTGGGCTGTTTGCCTTCGCAATGTAAGTACGAGAGAAATTGGGGGGGCCGCAGCCCTTAATGGCATCGCCCCTCCCCACCCACCCCGAGCCTCCTATCCTTAAATCTGCGGGGAATAAAGAGTGCTGTTAAACCAAACTGGAAGACAAATGGTTTTGTTCAATGGGAAGCCGCCTCCATAAATCCCCACTTAATGCGACGGAGGAAGGCTGAAGCAGGAACAGGTGAATTTGCCGTAGTGAGGGAAAACCATACATTACTTCTCAGGAAAAAAGGGGGGAGAACAGGCGGGGATGATGGACAGACGGATGGGCAAGATGAGAGATAAAAGTAACCAGAAAATGGCTGTATTTCTAATCTTCCTGGGAGTCTTCAAAAGGAATTGCATTTGGCTTAAATAACACTGCTCCAAATGACCACCTCATAATGGGGTTACATATCACCCAGAAAATATAGCAAAATGTCATTATGGTAAATGCAATGTACTGATGTAGTACTTTTTTAGTGTAGTTGACCACTTGGAGCACTCCTACACTACAAGCTGCATTTGCCCCTTCACATACGCACTCATACAGGACATCTTGGTCTCTAAGGAATATCAGGCTGTCCTCTCCATAACACATTATTAGGCAAGGACACTTCTATATTTGATCGTAATATTTAAATATTCGAAGCGTTAAAGGGAAGGAAAGCACTATGCATTAAAAGGAAGGTTTGCGTGGGCAACCGCTGAGGATTGATATTTTCAACCCTTTATGATGCCTGAAACCTGAACCAGTGGTACGTTAGTCTTGAATTTGGTACACAAAAAGCTTAACAAAATAAGGAAAGAATAATAATGTGGGCCTGAGGAAAACTAAAATGGAATATCTGCAAAGCAAAAACAAAACGTGACGTGAACGTGAAGTGGAGGTTAACCTTACTAAACTGGGAGATTTTAAAAAGAATTTAAAGTCAAACTAAAAACACAACATTAGAGCAAAATCCATGAACCTTGATAGAAATACACTCAAAAAGATAACTTAATGATAATAATGATTGTGTTGTACCTGTAATAATGATATTAAAGTCAGGTATGTAATCAATCATGATCTAAAACCAGTTACCTGAATTATCCTAGAAGAGAGCCCTGAAGGAAATACTTGATATGCATAACAGTGGTCTAGAATAGATTTGGATTTTTCAACATTTTGCCAAAGAGCTAAAAGTGATTTCATTTCAATAATGCAACACATGTGCACATGACCATGGAGAGGAGTTTTGCAGTGGAGAGATGAGTGGAGGATAAGACAGAATAAGAGGCTATGAGGGGGTGAGATAAGTGAGCAGAAAGGTAGCCTGGGAAATGGGGTGGTGGACAAACAGCGAAAGGAGAAAGAGGACTGGAGTACGGAACGAGCAGAAAGTGAGTTATATTTAAACCATTAGGCAGCTTATTCGTTCAGTACAAATGCAAATGAAACAGCATTATCATCGTGGCCTCTTCCCGGGAAATCGACTCTTTCTGTAATACCTCGACAGAAGTGGACCGGTCGTGAACCCTCCTCCTCTGCAGTGCCAGCTAGCCCTGGAGTGACCTACATAGACAGCTAGATGCACACACACATACATACACACACACACACATGCACACGGGGAGAGTACCCCTCCTCTCTCAGGCACCCGCCCAAATCAGAGATCAAAGGCTGGATTTGTAAAGCTAATGGCTGCTGCGCTGCAGCCAGGGACAGGGAATAAGGGAAGAGAGAAACAGAGGGAAAAACAGACAGTAACAGCACAGGCGGAATGACACAGAAGCACAGAGGAAGAAAATGTCTGGGTTT